TCATCAGAGGGCATAAAATGTTAACAGCATGTCATCTAACTTTCTCTAGCTTTTCTGTCAACTTTCTTTTGAATATTGGCCCACTTCTTAATAAAAAGTCGAAAGACATTTTGTCGCGTTCAGTGTCCTACAGCTTTTCATTCAAAAACTACAGCCGTTTAAATAAAAAAAAAATGCTGCACACCTTAGCTATTCATTCTGCAAAGTTTCGGGGAGTTAATACGGCTTTCCACTTGCAGTGCCCCACTTGCAGTGGCGCGTGCTCAGCTCGAGCGAGGATCGCTTTGGAACAGTTGATCCTGGGATTTGCATTAAACAAGTCGGACAGTCACCGGTGTCGCACGCACAGAAAGATTAAAGTTCCCTCGATGCTTTGCGGCAGCGGTGGCGTAGTCAAACTGGCTCGTCAGATCTATTAATTTAAGAAAATTTTAGACTGGCTTCCGAAATACACTGAAGCTTGACTGATGCAAAGGCCTGACATAACATATTTATGCGAACCCTTCCTTTCACTACGCGTTTCATGTCATCAGTCTCTTTGCAAACCACTTCTGTTCCTAAGAGCCTTTCATTACACCACCGTGAGAACTGTAGTTTTTCTGCACGAGCGATAACCTCGCTGAGAATATGCGCGAGCAGAACACAAAGCGGCACTAGCTGTCTTATGAACTAGCGCCTGCTCCCTATGAGCTACAGGGATGGTGGCGTCACGTGTGCATGGAACGCTCATAGAGATCAGGGGGGCTAAGCTCGCCTCCGGCGGGAATCTCTCCGATGCCACGTCACGAGGGAGGGGAGGAGCTTCTTTTGACTCCGCCCCGGCGAGTTTCCCACTCCCCCTCTTACATTTCCGACCCCCCCGGCGGCGGCGAGTTCCCCAGCGTAGCTCCGATTTTTCCCTACGCTCCGCAGTGAAGGGTTTTTATTTTATTTCAATGGGGGATCGGTGGCCGGCTGGGCTAGCGCACACCAACTCGGAGCACGTCGAGCGAAAGGTCCGTTGCAGAACCTATGGATGCTGGGTTCAATCCCCAACCCTGCCCGTTTCGATGTTGATGAGCATCGTACCGGCGTGCAGTCGTGTAACACTACTGCGGGATGGACGTTAAAGACCCCAGGCTAGCGGTTGTACGGCACTGCATCGCTGAATTTCTCATCTACAGCCGTTTAAATAAAAACAAAATGCTTCACACCTTAGCTATTCATTCTACAAAGTTTCGGGGAGTTAATACGGCTTTCCACTCCACTCCAGACTGTCTGCCGCGGAACATCCGCAAAAATGGCCCTTAGAAGAAATTTTATGGCTTCTCTGCATAGCACCACTCAGGACGAAGCCAGTCGAGGCAGTTGCTTCACTTTAGTATAGTTCTGTTGCTTTTCTTTACTAGTTGACTCGTTTTATAGGGCCAATAAAGTCTCTATAGTCGCAAAGTCAGAACGGCGGTCCCTGGCTAAACCGTGCCACGTGCCTTCCGTTGTGCTTTGACTGCGCGCGCGCGTTCGAGCTGCACGAGACGCCAAAGCGATGTCACGGGTAGAAGTTTAAACTTGTATACTATTTGAGCGTGTTGGTGCTTTTTGAACATTTAGGCAGTTGAGACACATACGGGACGACACAGACAGGACAATCTTTCAACTTGAACAACATTTCTTTTCGACTTCAAGCCCAAAGCCCGCCCGCTCTGTAAGAGAACGGGGAAGGGAAAAATTGGGGGAAGGAGAGGAATCGGAGATAAGTGATGAGGTTGCCAAACGAGGAAGGGAGAAGAGGGAAGGGGGCTCGACTGGAGGTGCGGGATAACGGAATGAAAGGAAAGGCCGCTTCTGCTGGTGACCTTGTCGCCTTGCTGAGTCTGTCGACGTTCGGCTTCCATTGGGTGTCTCCGAAAGATAAACTCCTTTCTTGAGGGCGAAATGGAAGGGGTACTTTCGTTCTCCGGGCTTGTCGCCATCCGATAGGCCTCACTTATTTCTCTCCCGACTCGCTCGCAGTGGCCTCCCATGGTTGTCGTGCCGGCGAAATTAGGAGCGCTGCCGGGACATTTTCTCCCGTGCATGACGATCGGGCGCTGGGAATCCGAAGCAGCTTTTTCGGCGTCCATTTGATGCTCTCGGAGTCGGTCGTTGAGGCATAGCCCCGTTCTCCCGATGTACCTGGCCCCGCACGACAGTGGGATTGCGTACACCTTCTCCGCCATACAGGCGGTGAACTTCATCGCGCGTTTTTTGGTGCAGCAGGGTTGTGCGAGTCCCTCTCTGTTTATGGCCCTACACATGTCGCCGGGCCTCGATTTGCATATGAGCATCACTTCTGTGTCGCATTTTGAGGCGAGAGCTTTTAGTCGGTGAGATGTTGTGTGGATGTATGGAGGACTTCGGAGGGCAGGCTACCCTGCTGATTTGATTTTGGCTACCTCGCAGAAATTGGCTACAAACCCCCGGGCCAGGCCAACCGCCGAGACTTCACCCGTCACCTGAAGACCAGCCACACAACATCTCACCGCCTAAAAGCTCTCGCCTCAAAGTACGACACAAACGTGGTGTTCCCATAAAAATCGAGGCTTGGCGACATGTGTGAGGCCGTCAACAGAGAGGGACTCCCACAACCCAGCTGCACCAAAAAGCACGCAATCAAGTTCACCGCCTGCATGACGGTGAAGGTGTACGCGATCCCCATGTCCTGCGGGGCCAGATACATTGGGCAAACGGGGTGATGCCTCAACGACCGACTCCGAGAACATCAAATGGATGCCGAAAAAGCTGCTTCGGATTCCCAGCGCCCGATGGTCATGCACGGGAGAAAATATCCCGGCTGCGCTCCTAATTTCGCCAGCACGACAACCATCGGAGGCCACTGCGAGCGAGTCGGGAGAGAAATAATTGAGGCTAGGGAGCCTTCATGTGCGCTTTTCTAGGGTGATGCCACCCTTTGTAATACCACTCGCCGACAAACCAGCAGCCATTTTTTTCCTCGGCGATAATTCCTGGGCTTATAACCCTCCCGGAAACAAGCACCATATCTCACAAGTTCGGAGCAGCGTTGTGGAACCCATGAAGGAAGGATTAGCATTTCCCCCCTCGGATGGGAGGACCGATGGACACAAAGGCCACTTTCCGGCGCACGGGGAAACAACGAGGAACAAAATGGCGGTGGACGAGTGTGTGGGAAAGGGAAACAGGCAGTTGGCATCACCCTATGCGAAGCGCACATGGAGGCACCCTAATTGAGGCCTATCGGATGGCGACAAGCTCGCTGAACGTAAGTACCCGTTCCATTTGGCTCTCAAGAAAGGAGCTTATCTTTCGGACGCCCCCAATGGAAGCCGAACGTCGATGGGCTCGGCAAGGCGACAAGGTCACCAGCAGAAGCGGCCTTTTCTTTTAATCCGTTATCCCTCACCTCCAGTCCAGCCCCCCTTCCCTCTTCTCCCTTCCCCGTTTGGCAACCTCTTCACTTTTCTCCGCTTCCTCTCCTTCCCCCAAGCTTTCGCTTCTTCGTTCTGTCACAGAGCGGGCGGGCTTTGGGCTTGAAGCCGAAAGTAAATAACATGGTGTTTTGTAGATCGTTTCAGCTGTCCCGCAACGCTCTCCGCAACCAGCTACGCCAGCCGGAACTCTACAGTCAAGGCCATCGGCGCGCCGGCGCAGTAGCGGCTGCTTCGTGGCCGAGGGCTTATCGGAGGGAAAACGCGGTCTACGAAAACTCCCAGTTGTTGAAGTTGAAAGATTGTTCTGTCTCTATCGTCCCTTATGTGTCTCCACTCCGCGGGACAACCCAAGCTTCTCCCTTCCGTTCTCACCTTGTCAAAGAGTAATGAAAGACTTAGTGACTTTTGACATCTAGTGAAGACGTACTGCGTTCAATAAAAAGTCACCAGAGTCTGTAGCTTTTCTATTGACACTGACTACAAAGAATCAATTGAACATTTTCAACAGGAATTAAATAGGTCTGCAGTCTTTGTTGGACACTGTCAGCAGGAAATCAGCATAAAAAATCAACGTGAAGTTAATAAAAAGTCAACAGCTATTTCTTGACTCAGGCTGAAGAAAATCATCAGAAAAGTTTTAACACGGAATCAACAAGACGTTTGCACGTTTTCAATAAAAATTTTAAGATCAATTTTAAAGAGACAATTGTCGGATATTACTACTAGGCGAGATCGTCACGCGTTGACACCACCAAGCGGCAAGTCTCGCCACTACAATACTCGTGGCCGTGCAGAGGTAGAGAGCGCGCGGCCTCGTCGTTTCTTTTCCGTTCCCCTTTAACTACGTGTCAGTACCGCTTTGCAAACATACGTGTTGTAGTTCCTAGCTGGAGAGGCCGTGAGACAACGAGCACGTACCAGTCCGGCCGTGGCCATAGCAGCAAGTTAGTCAGACGTACTCTTTCTGTAGCACCTCCTGAGCTAGAATAAATAAGAAACGAGTCAAAGTACAGGCTAGCTGGTGGAAGTCAACCATTTCGTCGTTTACCCTGAGACTGGGGGGGTTTTTTGAAGAGCAGAAGAAACAGAAAAAACAGACAGGTCTCAATTGAGACCTGTCTGTTTTTTCTGTTTCTTCTGCTCTTCAAAAAACCCCCCCAGTCTCAGGGTAAACGACGAAATGGTTAGAATAAATAGTTCATGTCAAATCATATCATATCACTACACCGGGTAACCTAACAGCGTAATTAACAGTGTGCTAATGCAACTTTTCTCTTTATTCGGTGCGATGAAAAACACGCTGTATACTATATATAGGTATATTTCGGATGCTTTGATGAGTTTATAAATGTTAAACAATTACACAATATACAACTAAACGTGGATTCGCTCATCCGTTGAAGTTTTGGAGCATGCGCATATTAGCCGAACTTGAGTCGAACTTTTGTGAAAATTTTATTTGGAAGCGTGTAAAAGTCGAACCTAGTCCAACTCGAAACTCGGCAGGTTGCCACCCTCCCTAGTGGTAAATAAATTGCTAAAATCTGCATTTGGTGTTCTCGCCTTTTCAAGGTGCGGTCATTGCGAGGGAATACGGCCTGCCCTGCGTCGTCGGCGTCGAGAATGCTACCGACATCTTCGCCTCAGGTGGGTCTCTCCATTTGGAGTGGATAGAACGAGAGTTTAATCGCGTCACCTTTAGAGAAGTCAGTTTCTTGCTTAAATTACAAGGGGCGTTCAAGGTTAACCGAGACGTTTTTGAAAGAAAAAATAATACCAAGCATACCGCAGTGAAACTTAAGCCGGGCGTTAACGTAATACTTATTTTAATTAGAGTCCTTGACCGATGTGACGTATATAAAGGGACACTGACACCCCCCCCCCCCCCACACACATTATTTTTTTTTATTTTTTTACCAGGCAATTTGTTGTGGTGTCGGAATGCTAGCCAATTAATATTTTGCTAAAGAGTACAGTATTTTTTAATAAAGCTAAAATACGCAACTGCTCGAAACTGAAACCGAAACCCCCGCACCGCACGGAGAAGAGGAGAGGAGAGAGTGAGTGGCGGAAGTCACATGGCTACACCCAACCGTGCGATTTTTTTCTTTCTTCCGGTTGCAGCAGACCAAATGTGTTCGCAATCCGTTCGCCATGCGATTCCTTTGCAGTTATGTTTGTTCCGCTCACTGTTCTGTACTTCAAGATGAGTTGTTTTGTACATTTAAAGGGGCCCTGCAATCATATTTAAGCGTCTACCTTTTTTGCGGTTTCCACGTGTCTTGGGGTTCGGGCAAGCCAGCGTGCACGGAGGGAGTAACTAAATATCAGTGCATCATATTTTCACCGGGCGATGCGGAAACCTCCTCCACCGACAGGGGCGACCCGCGGTATCAAAAGTGCGCGAAATGTGACGTCTTTGGTCCTGGGCTTACTACTGGTCAGAGCCGCTAGAAGCTTCTTTTTAGTCGAAATACAAAACGTAAGTGGCGCGAACCGTTTCAATTATTTATAAAAGTAGTTTTTGTTCAGTATTTCAGATCAGAAAAGAAACAAATGCAGTTTATAAAGTACGAAAGCAAGAAATGACCCGTCGACATACCCGCCACCAAGCGATGGAAAAGGCGGCGCATACTAGGAAAGGGTAGTGGGATCAGGCGCCGACACGGAAAGATCCCGGATGTACGCGGCGGCGCTGCGGTCGTTTACGGACTGGAGGATCCGACCGGCTCCGAGTGTTCCGATCGAAGGCCTTCAGCGAGTAGCTTTGTCTTGCGTTTTGGCCATTTCGCGGTACGGCAGCGCGAAGTGGCTCCCATTCTGAAATGGTCTTTACCCCGTATTTGCTGTCGTTTGTGGCCAATGAAGTGTCATCCCGAATTAGTGTTTAATCGCGCAGCAAATGCAATGAGAGCCGCTCTGGCTGCCCGTTGTATACAGCCTATCCAGAACACGCTTTAGTGGCGCCCTCTCGCGCCGTCGACACGCAGTGCGGCAGGCGTGAGCGCTCGCTGAGCTGACTATCCCTCCTCTAGTTCACGGCCACTCAAGCAACCAAGGACGTCATGAGGGAGGTTATTTTTTCCTTGTTTTTGTAATTTTAATTTGCCTATAACTTTTAAAATAAAGCGAAATTCGAGAAAAGAAAAGTTACATTACGTTACTACGGTCAGCGCGCTCAGGTTTGGCGCAAATTAAAAACCAGTAAAAAAGGGCTTGCAGGGCCCCTTTAAGTGTTGGCAATGAGTACGAGTGCCCGTAGTGAATTCCCGTGATCGGCTCCGAAAAGAATACTCCCAAGATGTTGCGTGAAGAGCCGCCTCACATGTCCTGCATCTGAAAATGCCTTGTGCGGCAGAGGTGTAAAAAACGGAATCCCAGACGGTTCAGTTCAGCGACGTACCGTCCACAAAATTGTTTTTTTGAGTGGTAATTGTAAGTAAAAAAGAACCGTAAACATCGCAAAATGTTTGAAAAAGAAATGGTACGCCCACACTAGGGATTGAAACCGTGCCTGCTGCGTGTGAAGCGGACGTCTTTCCACTGAGCTACTCAAGGAGCTCTTTCGTTTGTAGTAATGCAGCCGGTCGACTGTACGTCGGAAAGTTTGCTGCCGATTTCCCTCCAGTTACGCATAGAGACCATATTCGCACCTAGTAAAGAAACCGTACGCGTGCGTATTCAACTCGACGTACGCACCTCGTGCCTGACATTTGAGCGAGCGATGTCTTCAGCCACGAGAAGGGACGGTGGCTCGGCGACGTCTTCGTGCAATCGTCATGCTGGTCGGGCGTGTCGTACGGGATGAATTTGATCGGTCCAAAATTTCTCTTTCGAAGGAAGGCAGAATTCGCCGGTACCGTGAACGACAGTTCTGAAGTAAAGGTCCAACGCTTGTCGTCCGTTGCCATCCGCTAGTCCCACGATACGCGAAAAGAATTATGGAGTGAACGCACAGAATGCTTCCGGTTGTCTGTGCAGTCTTCTTTTTTTTTTTTTTCAATCAACGTATTTGCAGGTTTTTAGAAGCCACAAAAAATTGGTTTTATATTTTTTTTTCTATTTTTAGTTTGACTGTGTGCCTTCAATGACCCACGACTTTGATTAAATTTGGTGGTCGCGTCGAAACCTTAGAAAACGGCCCGTGACCTCGGAAAAGAGAGTTAGCGCGACTCAAACCGGCCGGTTCTCGATCGGCGGTTTTCGGGCAGAAAGAAACCGAATTTCCAGCCGCAAATTCTGTTTTGTGGGTAGTTGGGCTCTCATATGTCACGTACAATTAAAAATCTCGGCGAGCATAAATACCCTGTCAGTGTCCCTTTAACGTTTGCTCAGCAGCTCCAGCTTTGGTAGCAGAGAAAATTTTTATTTCGTTCGTTTTATTTATTGGTGCTTTCATGGACCGAAGGCATTACATACGGGTGAGTTTACAATGGGCAAGAGATCAAACAATACAAATAATGTACGTAAATATACACATCTTACTGCTTTAAATTCTATAACGATTTTTTGAGCTTCTGTCTAGAAGCTATAGACGAGAAAGTTTTCTGGAAGGTCATTGAAAACATGGGGTGCATAATATATGCGCATACGTTCGCCATATTATGCTCTGATTCGCGGAACCTCATATCGAATAGAATGTTTCAATGGCCGCTGTATAGTGTGCAGTGTTTTAATATCAAAATTCCAGAAATGTTTAAGTATGACAGTTTCTCTGAAAAGCCCAAGCAACGATGGCAGATGAAGTGCGCTAAACATACATGCACTTGAAATTTTAGGTATATCAAACACCATGCCTCTCAAAATATATATTTTAAAGAGCTACATCTGGTATGCCAAAACAAAGAACCGCCATAATGGATTGTTATAGCGTAACGTAAGTAATAAAGTAACGTAACGTTAACGTAACGTTAGTAACATAAGTAACTTTACGCGACAGCTTGTACCAACACCTTTCCAACAATGAACGGCATAAACATTTTTATGTTGTACAGACAGCATGAAATGTTTATTAATATTTTACATAAATATAGAATGTGGGTGCACCAAGACAAATCATAATCGAAGTGTATACCCTGCTATTTTACCGCGCAAACCTCTTGTTCGGTCCAACCCCAGCACACCGACCGCGCCAGCCGCGCCGCCAAACAGAGAGAAAACAAAAATAAAATGGTGACGTTAATTCAAGCGGCACGGATTTTGGCCAGGCATTGGCCAATGGCTGGCGATGGTCTTTTCGCCAAAGGCCAAAGAGTAGCCATTTATCGGACAATGCTTGGCCGATGGCTGATGGCCAGTGGCCATCGGCCAATGGCCAGAGAAAGGCCTGTCAGCAGCCAATGGCTGCCACTGTCTGGCCACTGGCCAAAGGACCATTGCCAGCCATTGGCTAATGATTGGCCAAATCTGTGCTGCTTGGGCTAAGACCGTTCCAGTCTCAGTTTTTAACTTCGTGTAACTTTGAGCAGGCATCTGGCCGTGGCCATGTTCCCGCTCGTGTAAAGAATCACGTACCATTGCAAGCCTGCCAAAGTCACCTTCACGCGCATGCTGCAAATGCTAGCACGCATGGGGCACCAATCGGGACGCCGTGCTTGCAAACATGTATAGGACGTGTGTTTTATTACCTACACGCAGGTGACATCATTCTCCTGGATGCTACTCGGGGCATGGTTACCACCATCAAAACTGCCGCTGCCCAAGAGGATTCGTAATTGTGGAAGTAATCTAATCGGATGATCCCATAAAGACAAGGTTCAAAAGAATCAATGAATCCCTCAAGTGTCACTGTATCTTTCTTGCGTAAATAAAGAAAGTAACAAAAATATCTGTCAAGCTCTGGTCGACAAGTTTTTCTTTTCTGGTCGTCACTTTCTTGCTTTGTGCTTGCTGGTGCCCTGTGAGCTCCATACAGTAGAACACGCCCATCTCACCTATTGGAGCCTCGCGGAGCGTCCCGTCCATTTGCAGCAAGCATAAAAGCATTGCTTTCACTATTTCCAGAAAGTGCTGCTCTCACAATATGAATTGTAGGACTAAACAGCAATTCTATTCGAACAGAAATGTGAAAGAACCACTTCGAATCAAATAGTGCAGTGTTAACCGAAACGTTAACGCTTAAAAAAAAATATTACACGTCATGATTTACCCTTGTCTTGCGCAGGCTATGACTTACACAGCGCAATTTGATTCAGACCACTATTCGCACACCCCTCAAGTCGTTCTTTCAACTGGCCGTCCAATGTTAAAGTTACAAACTTCAAACAAATCTCAACTTACAGTATGCAGTGCAACATATAAAATTACTTAATGCACAATGTATTCTAAACTTGGTACCTACCCTCGTAAATTATAAAAGTGGTAGTAAGCGTTTAAAAAAAAATAAGTTGAAGTTCGGAATGTTTGCTCGGGCGGTAATCTCGAACCGGTCTGGTTTGGGAAATTTAGGCATCATTATCTCTCTTTAGTGGCATAATTACAAGTAAATAGCATAAAAGGCTGACCATGAGAATGAATACACAAGCCATTTGACACAACGTGGTCCCGTGCTTAAGCTGACTTAGTTGGTTTACTGCTTACAATGGGCCAGCTGAACAAAGATTACACCACGCCTAGAAAACAAACACCATTCACACTGCTGGTAAATGGTGTGAATGGTGTGTTTTTGGTGTGTAGAGTATCTTTGTCCAGCTGGCCCCCCATCGTAAGAAAATAGCCACTTCAGACCACCGAATGCTCTGCGTCTGTCGATGATACTCAGCAGGACAACCCGCAGACATTCTATAGACCGTTCCATTAGGGGCATAGCAGAGAGGGTAAAAAGAGAAAAAAATGTCCTCCCCCTCTCACCCGCATGACTTCTGCTCCGCCGAGTGGGCTGTACCTAGCATCCGGCTACCAATTGTCGTGTAATACTATGCCAGATAAAAAGACTAATGGGGTCCAATTACGCTGTTAACTGAGTGCAAATAAAAAAAATAGGGAAAACTGTGTGAGATTGACCGGTCTCTCCTGCGAAAAGTAAATCTGGTTGCTGTACTTTTTTTACTATACAAAATTCGTACTGGTGTAGGTCTTTAGCGAATATGAGTGGAAGTTTGAAACAATAAATAAAAGCGTGCTTTCCTGCCGCAATAGAGGCAGTTGTTGAGGGTAGTACTACCGGCTGACTCAACTGCTACTTAAGTAACGGAAAAAATATATGCTAGTTGATCATTTACCGAAATAGAACAACAGAGAGCTCTAGGCTGATTGTTGAGTAGCCATAACTATTCTAAGAACGTGAACCACTTCACAATGGCAGCCACGAGCGGGAGTTCGATGTTCCGTACAGCCCGCCGGTACAGCCCAAAGATGGAGAATGGCAACCTCCCGGTTTGTTGTCTGGTAGCGCAGTCGGGCGCGTGCCCTCTCTCTCGTTTTACACCGCCGAACACGCTGAATTTCCTGGGTGTAAGGAGAGGGCGCTGCTGTCGAACAAAATATTGCCGTCCAGAGAGCGCTAAATGGAATGGTCCATAAGAGGGATAGCATTCCTGAACAAACCCTTCGCATTTTCATGACCATCAGTCTTTTTGTAACCAACGAAGAGGGCGGCGCGAATCTCTTAGGCGCTAATTTATTCTGTTAGCAGCTAGAGCACGCGCTGTAGCTGCTACTAGCGGCGAGCTTCCTCGCTTCGCACGCGCCGAGGGAGCAAAGATCGCGGTGATAGCTTTCGGCCCACTATGGAGCCGCACTGCCGAAGTTTAGGAAGCGCCGAGCGAAGGGAGTATGCACATCGGAGTAGGCCACACAACCTCACCCCTAAGCTGACTTCCAGGCGGCGCAGCTTGTACCGAGATCCAGGCGCTCCTCTGTTCGCATTTCATTTTTTCCCGATAGTACCTACTACTATTATGGATACAAAACACAAGATGTTCCAGGCTTGAGCTGAGCTAGTTGGTTCATAGTTCACTTACGGCCAGCTGAACTAGAAAAAACATACACATAAAGAAAAGACCATTCACGCCGCTGGACTAACAACTGATTTTCTTTTTCCTTCTCTTCTACTGCAAGCCACACTTGAGGGAACAATTCTCTTTTCCTCTTTTTTGCTTTCTAATCCACCTTAAAATCTTTTTTTTCTTAATTCTCCTTAAAATGTTAACCCCGAAGAAATCTTTTTTCCTTCTCGTGAAGCACGAGAGAAGGTGCACTGACGCAGTCATCGCCTTTTTCCTCAATGGCAAGTGCCTCTAGGATTTCACGTCCCAGTTTTGTTTTGTTCCTTGCGACGATGTTTACGTCGTAGAACAGTGCCAACATTGACACGCACGAAAATGGGTTGGCAAGTGTCCTCCTGCTGACAGGGTTTTCACTGATGCAGCATGCTCCCTCGTCCGATCGTTAATGCATCGGCCGGTTTGTCCGATGTAACTTCGGCCGCATGTCAGCGGAATGTGGTATACCACCTCCTTTTCACACAGGGCGTATGGAGACTTGTGAACTGTGCCACACCTCTTCTCGTTGTCACTTCGCTCCAGGTTAACCCGGCGACACATGGAATAGGCTTTGTTGGGGGCCGAACACACCACCTGAACGCCTTGCCGTCCAGCTACCTTTTTTAACTTGTGGGTCATCCGTGAACATAGGGTGCTACCACCACCGCCTGTCGAGTCTTTTTCTTTTCCTTTGTGCTTTTATCCGTGCACCCTAATCCGCGCTTGATGGTCCTGCACACCTGTTCGCAAATCGCTACCAGGAGCGGTTTTGGGTACCCAGCATCCTGTAGTCTCGAGACCTGAGTTTTAAAACTTCGCTCAACTTGATGGTGACAGGTCTTCTTTAGGGCGGATATCAGGGCTGTGGTGGCCACCCCTCGTTTGACATTCTCGGAGTGCCCCGAGTCAAAAGGTAGAAAGCCTTTGCACGACCTGGCTTGGTATCTCCAGCACACGTGGTTACCTTTGAATTCCAATGCCAGGTCCAGGAATCTGATGGAATTATCCACGGGGAGTTCATGGGTGAATTTGAGTTTCAAGATTTTAAGGTGGATTAGAAAGCAAAAAAGAGGAAAAGAGAATTGTTCCCTCAAGTGTGGCTTGCAGTCGAAGAGGAGGAAAAAGAAAATCAGTTGTTAGTCCAGCGGCGTGAATGGTCTTTTCTTTATGTGTATGTTTTTCTAGTTCAGCTGGCCGTAAGTAAACAAGATGTTCAACCGATGCGATATAGTATATTAACTTCTGAACGGCAAGTACAGCTACAAAATACCGTATTATGTTCGTATCCAGCGTATATTTCAACATGGGAGCCAAATCAATCCAGTGGAAAGTACACATCGCACAAAAAAAATGGTTAAGGTCGTATTGGTCTTTGCCAAACGGTCCATCTGAGAAAATAATAACGTTGGGTATAATTAGGTTATTACTTACTTTCGAGTAATGAACATTCTAAATAATGAGTATATAGGCACAATTTAATTAGAAACATTTCAAGTATTCTTGAAAACCACTAAATCAATTCATTTTAGGAACATAGGAGGCATGAAGAGCATTTTACGGCATTCTGAAAAAACGCTCAATTTACATTTCCCTAAATGTGTAGTGCGCATGCACACTATACTCGACACACCTGGGTTTCACCTTTCGTTCTGCCAAAAGAGATCAGCCATCTTCTATGTTGTGCACAAGCCCCGTCTGCCTAGTTCCTTTCGTGGAGAAGAGATTTTGTCGTTTTGCCTGAGTCAATTTTTTGTAAATCTACCCGCTCAAGCTCCTCATTTGTTAACACGAGGTGATGCACGCAAGTACCGGGAACTCCCAAGAAAATGGAACCGTGTTGTTTGGCCCGGGTAAATGAACTATGCATCACGGAAAGCTCAAACTCCGTGAGAATATGGCGCTAGCAGATATGATCATACCTCGGCAGACCTCACTCATGAGGGCCCTCACTCACCCTCACTCACCCTCATCTTCACAGGTGAGCTGATGGTGAGTGAGTTTCTGAACCAGGAAAATTCATGAGTATGAGGGTGAGTGAGGGCCGTGAGGGCCGTGAGGGCCGTGAGGGCGGTGAGGGCCGTGAGTGCGTGAGGGCCGTGAGGACGGTGAGGGGTATGAGGGCCATGAGTGCGTGAGGGGCGTGAGGGCGGTGAGTGGCGTGAGGGGTGTGACGGGCGGTGAGGGCCGTGAGTGCGTGAGGGCCGTGAGGGCGGTGAGGGGAATGAGGGTCATGAGTGCGTGAGGGGCGTGAGGGCCGTAAGTGGCGTGAGGGCCATGAGTGCGTGAGGGATGTGAGGGCGGTAAGGGCCGTGAGTGCGTGAGGGCCGTGAGGGCGGTGAGGGCGGTGAGGGGTGTGAGGGCCATGAGGGCCGCGAGGGTGGTGAGTGCATGAGGGGTGTGAGGGCCATGAGAGCGTGAGGGGCGGTGAGTGCGTGAGGCCCCCTTCAGGCGGAGCATCTTTCTCAGCAATTTTGGTGTTGATGGTGGGTTGTTCTTTAACTTTCCCTAGATCGACACGAATTGCTGAGATGGGGTCCGGCTCGAAACAATCAAGCAACTCGGAGCAATTCGGAGACGTTTGAAGTGGCTGCATCCAATCAGGGACGCAAAATTTTCACGTGATACCTCGTGCCGGAGAAGATGACTCCGAAAGACTTGGTTCTGGTTTGAAATCGATCGTTTTTGGAAATAAACTGTTTCAGAAAGGTACATTAGTATTCTCAACGAGATTTATGCTCTGTTTCATACTTAGCGTGCAACGCTGTCTAAGCTACTGGCGCGAGCATGGGGCTTGATCTCGTTGATCATTTGCACG